TTTTTGGATTGATTCTTGAAGTAAAACCAATACAAAATCGCTTAACGAATATGGTAAGAAAACAGTACTTACCACGTCTGCCAAATGGCCAAAAAATAATTTTTTTTTATTAATATATTCGTATTGCGTATGTATAGAAAATAAATGTATATTTTGTCCATCTGTTACGTCATCTACACTACTGGGTCAATTTAAGTAAAATGTAGTAAAGAAGATGGAGACCGGAAATAAAATAAATTGATAAAAGCAAATACTTTTAATAGTGAACTAGAACTAATGTTTTCCTTATATGACAGTATGAAAATTAACTGGCAAGTTAATTTGTATCAATCAATGTATCAATAATGTATCTGTATATTATTTATTAAATATAGCAGTAAAATTTTCGTTAGAAATGAAGCAAGAAAACAAGAAAGGCAGACATCAATATCAGATGACTAACTACGCAGGAGACACACACAAACCAAATGGAAATAGAATAAAAAAATATATTGTGTGTATTCAAATTACGAACAATGTAGTTTTCTAATGGCCACTAACACAGCTATTATTATTTAAACTCGACATCGACATCCTCCCACTACAATGCTTTGAAAGGAAGCAATGACATTCGGTACCTTTTCGCTTTCACTGTATTGGAAAGTGAGCGTAAAAAACGTATTTCGGCAACGGCAAAATGGCGAGAGATCAACGACCCCATCGAGTCATAGACCAATACCATAGACAAAAGGCGGCCATATTGTAACGAAAGTAAAAGTTTTCCAGGTCATAGACTACAGAGTGGTTCGGTTATGCAGTCACGATCGTGATTCACGAGATGATTTGGGAATGTCACGGTTACTGTCGAATTGTACTGCTTTGTTTTGCAACCGTGTATAACTTTACTTTTAAATTGAATCAGAACAAAAACAGATCTTTGCGTAATAAGACATTGAGCCAATTTGTTCAATTCAAAATATCAAACTGACTACGCTGTATTTTACATTACATTGGGTCAGCGGAATAAATGTTTATTTTATTCTTATTTACATATCCTTCGTAACTAAAAAGTTAAATCTCTATTTAGTTAGAAAATAACCTTAATTTTGTATGTATTCAAAATTTAATAAAAATTCATTACGAAATTTGCATTTTAATTATAAATGACATAAATATAAACATAGAGTTCTGAGATTTCGTGCATGTGATAGAAATAAAAAGTAGCCAACATCCTTTTTCATCTCAAATACTACTCAAATGTTAAATTAGATAAGGATTGGTAGAGCTCTAAAAACATCAAGTGTATATATAATATTATGATAGTAAGGATATCAAACTATCTCGTCCCGTAAATTAATCCGCGTGGTCATGATAAAAAATAGCCCATATCCTCCTTTATGCCAAATTTTATGACTATTAATTAAACCCTCAAGGCGTTATGAGTTAAACAACAAAGTTACTTCCACATCTATTTAAATAAAAATCAATTGCCGAATGTGTGTAAGCGCATCACTTCAGAACGACTGTACCTATTTTTTCTAATTCTACTACTTATGTTTGTTATTTCATAACTCCGTTTATTGTGAACCGATTTGTAAAATTCTTTTTTATCTGAAAGGATGTACTTTCAGATTGGTTCTATAGAAATTTTATGAATTGAGGTTGGATTATTTTGTGGAACACAATTTTTAAATTATAACGGAAATATTTTTGTGTTTGTAATTGTTTGTAATTGGACAAGTTTTGTATAAAAGTCAATTTTAAAAAATCGCACGAAAAATGTACATCCATGCGAAGCCGGGGCAAGCAGCTAGTTTATAAAACTAATATTAGTAGATTTGAATATTATTTATATATTATTAGAAGATTTGAATAGAGTAGTTACCAAATTCAAGAGAAACATTACTGTAACCATCCAAGGGGGAGGTTTATGTTCATCAGTAGATAGTTAGATGATGATTACTGCCATAGGGTTAAAATAGTGCGCTACTTATGTATACACAATGATTACAAAATAAACTCTATCGTATTACAGTTTACTGTAAACTGGGTAATGTTTATTTACTTATTTATTCTTTATTGACCAATTAAAAAAAAATTGGTACCAAAAGCGGACTTGTTGTAAATAAATAAATACAATAACTAGGTATATGACAGAATAGTTTCTTCCTACTTCGTACGCATGGATTTCAGAAGTAAGGATATCAATTAAACAGACTACTTATAGTCAGCGTATCAAGACAAAACATACAGCGGTTTTTAAGTTTTACTTTCAGGTATACAAATGTAGAAGCCACATCGTATACTGCATAGTAGTTTTTTCATAATGCAGGAACAAACAGACAGATAAAATTACTAAAAATATTGTTATAGCCTTCGTTGCCCTTAATACATTTTTCTTAAATATCTCCCACGTACAGACACTGTCAAGTTACAATTTTATTACACTATTAAGATTCGGTATATATATATATATATATATATATATATATATATATATGTAGGTTAGGGTTTTATATTTATATTTTAAAACTAATTCTTTAACATTCTTTAATTCTCTAACATTCTCTACGCAGTATTGTGCGGTTCATAAATGTACATTGTATCAGTCGTAATTGTCCACTGCTGAACATAGCCTTCCCCATAAAGGGGGGTTTTGCCAGTAGTTGCCACGCTTGGCAGGCGGGTTAGCAGACAAAGTTTGGCATTTGGTGATGTTTTAAGAGGGACGCTGCTGCCCATCCCTCTACGACACCCACGGTAAAGGAAGAATGTACACAGGTATATTCCTATACTGATAGTGCAATAAACACTTTAGGTAAACAAAAAAAATCCTTTTTGAATTTCAACTATATTTCGTCTTAGAATTTATATAAGAAAGATATTGAAAACGTTTATACATTTGATAAACAACATTAAAGATGTTGTGTTTGAATGACGTGATTCGGTATGGTAAATAAGTGGGTTTATCTATTAGATTTACATTCTTTATACGCATTAAATAAAATCAATAATATTTCTTGTAACTTTATAGTGCAACTAAAAAAATAAATAGTCAACACATAGTCTTTATTTTTATACATATTGCGGTACTCGTGACGTCTTTTTAAATAAGTCTGTGATTGCTCTATACATGTTAAATAAGTGTCTAAGTGACCGAGATTGGTCGAGATGGCGAGTGTCTTATCTTGTTAAATCGAACTAGCCTTGAGAAAATAGCTGTCTAGATCCCCTGTCAAATTTCATCGAAATGGTTATTCACGAGAAATCAAATGTCTAAAATAAAAAATTGAATTGAAATCTTTGTCAAAGTCTTATTTAAGATATTTTAGTACATATAATCTGTTAAAATCAAGTACAAAATCTGACTATTAGATTTTTTATATTTCGAAAAATTTGTGTTTTAACTCATTAGAGGTTTATTACATAAAAAAATATATGGTATCATATCCAATTCAATTTATTATATCGTTAAGTTGACTTAAGTATCATGCCTATGTATTAGAATTATTTACCATATTTTACCTGTTTTTGTAATTCTAAGACATTATGATAAGATGATTTCATATAATATAATAGTGCATTAAACCCTTAAATCTAAAATCATTGTAAAAATTACGAGAATTAAAGATTGTGTTCCACGAAAAAAACGACTTCAATTATGGCAAAACTAGTTATTTTAAAAACTAAACTATTAAATCGACTTTGATAAAATTTCTATACTTTTCCAAATCGGTTTATAATTGCCGGAGTTATAAGCTAACAAATATAAAAAAGATACAATCGAATTAAGAACCTCCGATTTTTGAAGTCAATTGAAAAGTTTTGTAAGAGATGATAAGATACTGGCTTGCAAGAGTTGCAATAGTAGAAATATATTGTGACTCTAACTATATAAAAGGTTTGTAGAGAATATGTAAATTTAGTAAATAAATGTGCTGTAGGTAATTCTTAGATAATATATGCGATTCTGCCTACGTATGTTTTTGGTGTTAACGCGTAATACAATCTATTCTGTGGTTATAGGATTCTTCTTAATAAATATATACATTTAATAAAGCAATCAGCAGATTTAGTATATTATTTATCATTTGATTAAAATAAGAATATTCCTTATTTATTCACATTATTAGGAGTCAATAATTTTACATTATCATGATTATTTTTTTAATTTAAATTGTATTAAAATACAAAAAATAATCGACAATAGCAACTTCTTTTTTATTTAATAGTTTCCCAGGATCTATATAAATATTCAAACTATTTTTTTTTATTTCAACATGTAGAAATAATTCCATGTTATTCCGGATATGTAGGTTAAAATAATTATTAACTTACATAATTATATAGCTCTCTAGTACTTGCTTAGCATTATTATTAATGACAGTGATAATTTCATAAAGTATGTAATTAGAATTTTACATTTAAAAGTGGTAATAAAAATTTGTAAGATTTAATATTCGGAGTGCATATTAATGGCTTATACAGAGATTTTAAAATAATAATTATATGAATATTTATATAAATTCTTCAAAATAATTTTCAAATTATTATATATTTTTAGTATTATTAGAATTTTTTATTCAAACATAATAGCTATTAATAAAAATAGTTAATTGTATTTAAAATTAAATGACAAATATTCAATAAATTATAAAAATAATAGACAAGTAAATGAGTATATATGTATTTAAATTACAATATAATTAATTTTTAGTGAATAATTTATTTTATTTATCAATATTTTAGCATACGTAGATTAGCTCGTAGCAGCTGCTACGAGCCGAGCTACGTATATATAGTACGGAATGGTTTATTCTCCGCCTTGAGATTACGATGGTTAAAAAACTTTTTTTTTTAATTAATATAAATTGAAAGTAATTATCAAACCTTTTTAATTAATGATATTTATTTACATAAATTGTAAATATTTTAAATATTTTATTTATATTTTTTTTTCAAAGCGTATCTTATGTTTTTATTCATTTTTAATAATATATAAAAGGAAGTATAATATTTACCCATTGTGGAGGTCATCGTCTGAAGTTGTTGAGCGTGCGTGGAGGCGTCAAACGCCTCTTCAGGCCCCAGCTTGTCGCCCGCCGACAGCTTGTCTAGAGCACCTCGTGCATCACACGAACGTTCCACCTGGTTCCTATACACCGATCACCTTTTTAATTTACGTCTCCGAAAATTTTTTGAAACACCAACTTTCAGCATAGTTTTTCAAAGCACTTGACACGCACCGCATGCGGAGTCCGGCTCACTTCCTGCGGAACAACACAAGTGATGCGCGGGCGCGGATCGCAGTTTCGTCACGGTCGTTTGCGCGCTCCCCGAACCTCTAGATTCGGCAAAATCACGATAACGACTGCGCGCGAATGTCGTCATGTCGAAATTCGAAACACTTTCACCTAAATATTCCGCCTCCGTTTCGGCGGACGCGGGCGTCGCTCTCGGCGCTCACGCACACACCGCTCACACCGTCAGTACTCAATTACGTACGCTGTAAAAATTGCGTCAGTGTTTTTCGTAGCCGATCTTACATTTGACGAGTACGCTGCCGAAATATAGTTATCTCACTCTACTGTTCATTCACCGTTATTCGAGATATTTTTTGTTTCGGTTTTTTTATCTGTCCGTTTCGTTGGAGGACAGGCGTGTGAGTGTGCGGATTTCGATAGCGGGGTCGTTGAACTGCCAAAAGGGATTTCGTTAACAGTATGCCATGATATTTCAGTACTAGGATGGGTTGCAGCTAATGATGATGGGTGTATCGCGTCGTGTCGTATATGTTCTGGTGGCAAACACTAGTTGCGTTGGTAAAGCATAAGTAGGTCAAACGCACGCGCACGCGCTGTTCTTCATGACCGCACAACGACCGTTTTAAACTCTACTCGCATCATCTTCATACTTTATTTACTTAGATTTCGATTAACCTAGTAATTAATTAAATCGACTTCTTAAAAGGTTAACGTTCCATAAGTTGATTGCATCACGAACTTTTGGATGTAAAACACGACCTTGAAAATATCAAGATTTTGCTTAAGTTCTGAGTGTATTATTTTCGCAATATGACAAGGCTATTCCTGCCATTTAATGTCTGTAGCATTTTAATTAAATATATACATACTTACACCTATGCCTTAAAGTTTAATTATGTGAATTCACTATATCCATTGAGCGTTAACACTAAGCTTTTAATCATGAACATGACAAACCATTGCCGGTTTTTGTCAAAGGTTAGAAAAGGCCGATGGCACAGTTTGGTGTTGGATTACATTAAAACCGAGTTCATTCGCATCGGCTGCTATTCATAAGTACCCTAGATTATGCCTCTGATTCATTGTATACTGGACAATGGTGCTATTCGTATGAAGTACCCGCCTAAAATACTTTCACATTGTATTAAACACAATAAATACAACACGTCAAAACTATTTGGCAAACTTGGATATCCAGAAAAGATTTAAAATTTAAATGGAAAACAACATTAATTTTTATATAGACATAAATTGGATATTTTCTATGAAAAACCAAACATTAACCTAATTTATGCTGTTGATAAAATTTGTTGATGCTGGAGATTGGCTGGCATTTGGTGGGATTTAAAATTAATTTGTAACCTGTGTGCAAACATTCTGACTTATAACACACACAGATTAACTTAACTGATGTTTAAAGTACATACACACTAAATAACATGTTTTTTAATCAGTTTCAACGTTCATTTAAGTCTTGGAGCTCTTGATAATAATTGTTTGTTGATACAAAACAGTTATAAATAAATTCTAGTAATTATTCAGTATCTATTCAGCCGTATTAAAAGTAGTCTATTGGACAATAATTGTAGTACATTTTCTACATTTACACAATTTTCATTGGTATTTCAAAGGTATTTTAATAGAATTTAAGATTATTGTAGAACTAAAACCGAATTTGTAAGTATATTTATGTATCTATGTATGCCACTGAAATATTTATAACAACAGGACGTCTACCTACATGATAGTAGCTGTATGGTTTTTGTAGGAAAGTTATATTACAATTCTTACTGTAAATTAGCCTATATGTAATAAGAATTATGATACTGTTACAGAAAAACCTTGATTAACAGACGAACGATCAAAAATAAACTACTGTTGTTAGTATGTCTGACCGCCGCGCGACGGACGCCGAAGGTATGCGTTGGGCAGTATGCGCCCACAGTCAGGTAGCTTGAGTATTATATTTAGCCAGAAGGAACCTGAAACTGGGTTAACTATTCTCCTGAAGAAAACACGGCCACTTGAAATATTGACGCAACACAGTATGTATGGGTGGCCTATCTGAGAGCGGGTGAAAGGAAAGTAGCCGCATAACCCAATTCGACTCTGAAAACAGGAAGTTCATGCAACATTTGATGCCATATACATTATTCTTAGAATATATTTCACGACGCCTCTGTGCAGCTATTGTTTACTGATATATGATTCTGTCTATCTACTTATATGAAGTCGGACATCAACTGTATTGTTTTATTGCGGTACCAGTATCTATTATATATAAAATATGATTATCAGTACATTTCTATACGTCTATAAAATATTTAATATAAAAAAATCTGAATATAGTTGACTTTACTATGGTATTTGTATACCTGTTAGAAGTGTTACATTTGAAGTTAAGATTAAATGATGAATATTGTGGACAGATAACATTCTTATTAATTCTATGAGTAAGATGGAGTGGATGATTTTGAATTTGGAACTTCTTTAAATTCGGTTCGCTCACTCGTTTAATGGATATCTACTCTTTATTAAACCACGTTGTTTGATCGTTCACCTAGCGAGTAAAACGAGAGCCAAACCGCATCCATTGTGACCTTTAAGTATATATATCTATACTCAAATACTGCGACTAACAGGCCGATTAATATTTTTTATAGTCCATTAAAACATCAGTATTTTAAAGGATGAACTGTAGATACGTGAAAATAAATAATAAGATTTGTAAATCGGTTATCTCATCATGGCTGCAATATTTAAATAGCCCGAGAGACACTTCATCGATTATATACAATATCAGATTTGCATTCAAATATTTGGCAGTGGTGTTTGATTATGAAGACCCTCAACAAAACACATTTTTTGATATTTGTTTATTTAGTAATACAAGTGTGATAAGTGACAATCAATAGACGATGGCCCAAGTCAAATAAACATTGATCATAAGGTGAACGTATTTATTTGTCAAGCCCAGTTTGATGTGCGAGGCGCACCTTACAATTATTATCAACAACATTCATTATATCTTAGTTATTTGTGCAAATAAGAAAAATTCTTAAGAAAAATTCTTTTTATATTAAGAATTTTGTGTCCAAAGCATAAAGTTCAATATATAAATAAAAAAAAAAGAAAATATGGTCTCCTTTTCCTGAAATAGTATAGATATTGTACTTGGCAGAAAAGATCAAACATTGTTATCATTTGTAAACAATATTCTTTGTAGTGCATCAAATGGGATACAAAAGCTTTCGTAATAGTTTATACATAAATGTCGACAGTTCCCACAGCAGTTTATCAGTTGACTATTGGGCCATATCGATAGAAATTCATTGTATCGATAATGCGGATGTTTTTCACACGGTTTAGCGAAACTGACTGATTTAGTTGAAGTTCAATAACCTAACTTGAAGAAAGGTGATAATCTTATAAAATATGATTAATGGAAAATCGCCGAAGCCATCGTATGATAAGAAAACGCAAAGAATTATTAGTGTAGTGTGATTGATCTTTTCTAATCTTTGTCGAGAATCTTTTTTTTTTTTTATAAATCTTTTGAGGCGTAGATAGCTGCATGTATTTTATATTATTTATAATCTGCATTTTTTATATGAAATAATTAACTACAATTATTTGTTATCCATTTATATTTTTATATAAAAAAAAAACGAAGTTTTTACAGTTCACAACAGATACACACAAGTACTCTATAGGTACCAATCTAGAGTTAGATAAAATAATTCGTACAATTTTTTTCTAATCATATAAATACATCTGTGCAATTCTTTTCTAATCGTCGGTAGAAATTATCTTTATTCTCATTTTAAATAGCGTAAATTTTATGTTTAGAAATTATCAACAGAATGACATCGCATTATCAACTACTAAGTCTAGCTAGACTAATACACCGAAAGTTAGAACCGACTAAATCCATGCATTTTATTACATAATTATATAAATAAATAAATACTGTCTTAATATCGATACGACTGAACGTAGGTGCTATATTAATTTGAAATAATATGAATGATAATGCAAGTAATATCTTTGTTGTATACATAGTAACGGTACTAAAACGTTATCTATAATTAGGTTTAACAAACTATATAATAGATTGTAATCTAAAGAGATATCAAATTAATAGAAAATTATTTATTTATTTCTTCATATGAAATGTTTAACAAGTGACGTCAAATAGTAGGAAGTTGTCAATTTACTGGTATTAAACCAATTTCGATATTTTTTTTTTGAATGTATTCGATAGGGTTAACTTTGATTTTGGCCTTCTTTTTGATTTTATGGTGATGGAAGACGCTGTTTCTTTTTTTTTAAATATAATCTAATATTAAATTTCTGTAATTAATTTAGGTGAATTACCTTTACCTAATTGTTAAAATATTATTTGTTCTCTTTATTAAGTATTTTGGTATTGTCTTATCTTAAAATAATAGTTGAATTTAAATTGAATATTTTAATTAATATTTGTAAAATTATATAATATCTTTACCATAAGAATAAGAAGTATATTTTTTTGTATTCAGTCGCTACAAAATATGTCACTATTTAGTTGCTCGTGCACCTGTTTCAATATTATAATTAATGTCATTCACCATTCTTAACTTATGACTATACAAAAGTATACAAAACTATGTATTTGCAAGGGAATATTTTGATAGATGTTGACTTCTACTCATAAGTTACTTAATTCATATTCTCTTAATTATTAAATACTTTATCTCTAAATTATTTTAGATAATACTTTTATATTTAATACTTTTCTAAACTCAAATTTACATTGAATGTGTTTTATAAGATAATTTATTCATAAATTTTAAACATTAATCGCCTTTCACGTTATCAAAACAAATATTGCAAGGTTGTAAATCGGATTTGAAGAAACAAGATTAGGCAAATGTTTATTTGTAATGAGAAAGAAAAAAAAATCGTACGAAATCAAAACGTCGAAAGGGGCGGACCCTTTAGTTATTTTCTTACTATTATGCTAC